AAAAAAAAAAATAGAAGGCTTGAAAGATGAGCTGAAATTTTTTTCTCCCCGTTCATCATGGGTTGTACACAATAGTGTCACATATTTGTCCTCGAATACAATATCACAATGTAGTTGGGCTGATATAATTCCCCACTATTTCTCCTTTCCCTCCCCCTTTTTGTCTTTAAGAATTTACAACAGTAGGCCCTAAAGGAAACTGTCCTTTATTGGGGTTCCCCCACCCAGTACTGGGGGACACTACCACGGAGCCACATCCCCCGCCCTTTTTATTATTTATCAAATTTTGAGACAATCGTCTCACTAAGTTGCTGAGACCGGCCTCGAACTTGCTATCCTCCTGCCTCAGCCTCCCACATTGCTGGGATTACGGGTGGCGCCTGCGTGCCCAGCCTGTCCTCTGCGTTATTAAAATCCTCCCCAAAGTCACTTTTAAATTGATTTCTTCCAAAGCAGAGAGCACTGAACTCCGCTGTGCCTATTTTCCTTAAAGGCCAGTCAGTGGTGGACATCTGCTGCACACAGGCCCACGCATATAAGCACTTGTGCCTGGACCCTTAGGGAGGAGATTGTCCTTATGTCCTTTTTCGCAGAGTGGGCTTGGTGGCTGAGCCAGTGTAATTGCCCTTGTCATTAGAGCGTAGGCCCTTGGAGGCAGGGAGTCTGTCTGATTCACGTCTGCTTCCTGCTCTTCAGCGGTGACAGTGACAGCACTTAGTGAAGTGCTCAGATAGTGGCTGACCAGAGACCGTCCCCTGTAGGATGGTAACTGAGTCCTGAGTTGCGTGTCCCTGCACGGGGAGGGAGGGAGGTCTGGCTTTGGGAATGGCAATCGCGGAGCGACCCTGTCGCCTGCTAGATCCGAGGGGACCCTCTCGCTCACCTCGTGGTGTGTTGCAGTTGGTGGATCTGAAGGCGGAACTCTTCCGCAAACAAGAAGAATTCAAGCAACAGAAGCACCTGAAAGATTCTGGCGTTTGGGAAAAACCAAAGACAACGAATAAGGTAAAAATCAGACCGAATTGTCTGCCTTGGTCCCAGACCTGGGGTGATCGTGCTGTGTTAGGGTTTAGAAGGTGACGGGGGTCTCTGTGCATATGGACGTGCAGTTAGACACCTGCACGAGGCGGATGAGACCCTGAAATAGAATCAGTGGGAGTGTTTAAGAGCACATTGTCCGTCTGTCCACTCTGCCTCATTGGTGCTAGTTTTGGAAAAGGACGCTTCGCTGATACGCGGCTTGTTCAGGTTCTCAGGGAAGCCTTGGCCCCATGCCCTCCTGTTGAGCTGCACGGGGCTGAGGGTCTGGTCTGGTGGGGTCGGTGGCCTTTCTGATCTCTTTGAATCACCCTCCAGAAACCCAGCATCTGGAGCAAGCAGAACACAGGAGTCTCCACCCGGGCGGAGAAGGATGCCGAACAAAGGGCGGAGGAACAGAAGACGCTGGACAGGGCGAGGTGCGTGGGGCTGAGAGCCAAGGCCTGGGGTCGCCCTGGCCACCGTACAGCGTTCCCATCTGACTCTCGGTTTCCACATGTGAAGTCGCGTCCCCCTAGCCAGGTGCTCTGTGGACTGTGGGTGCCAATGCAGTGGCTCCTCACGTTCAGGGGGCCTGAGGTCAGGACCCGTCCCTGCAGATACCTACGGCCAAGGTGCCTGAGCCCTTTAGGTAAAATGACAAAATATTCGCACAGAAGCCTCATGATCCTGCTGACTGTGGTAGATTGTTTGCTAAGACGATGTGAGTGTGGAGTAAGTGCTGACGCTGTACGGCTTGGGGACGATCACAAGGAACAGTCCTGTCCACGTTCCACACAGACACTCGCCGCACAGTGCCCACCAGCCACAGTGTGACATTTTTTCCTAATATTGTTGATCCCTAGTGAGTTGAGTGTGGAGATGTGGGATCTGGATATGGAGGTCCGACTGTAAATAGAATCTGCATTTGTATCTGTTGTTTTACAAAATGATAGAACACAGTCTCGATTTAAAAGATGAAGAGGATCCTTCTCTGGACTATTGTTAGACACTAAAATCATCAACAGGATTTTGTTTGTTGGTTTCTTTGCTTTTGCACAGTATTAGGGATTGGACTCAGGGAGGCCCTACCTCGGAGCTGTGTCCCCAGTCCTTTATTTTTTATTTTGAGTCAGGGTCTCACTACGTTGTCCAAACTGGCCTCCAACTTGGGATCCTCCTGCCTCAGCCTCCAGACTAGCTGGGATGGTAGGTGTGCCGCACCGTGCCTGGCCCTGTCCACAGGTTTTTAAAAGGAATCCCCGTGGTGTGGTTCTGGGTTCTAGGTGGCATGGCGTTGGCATTCAGAGACCCTGGTTGCCCCCAGACCAGCACAGGGATTGCAAGGAGGCTGCAGGGACCTTTGGAATACTCGCTGGTCTTCCTTCCCCCCTTCCGCCCCTCTCCCACCCCCACGCCCCAGGGTGACACTGGGCTTCTGAATATTTCAGCACCTAACTTGTCTTGCCCGAGAAATTCAGCACGTGAAATGGTGCCATTTTGGTCTGTATTTCTGATCCTGCCAGCTGTCCTAGTACAGTCACGTCCTGTGATGTTTTTAAAAGATGCGGATCCCAAGATCCCAAGATTACCCGTCGCCTTTGCTCCGACCTCTCAGCCCCTTCCGTGTAGCGCTGTCCCCTCGCTGTCCTGTTGCCTCTCGTGCCCTTGACATTGCTGAGCGCCCGCCAGGTACTTCAACAGCAAACCCGACCAGGTGGGGTCCTGTTGAAGCTCTGGGTACCAGAGGCTGCTGGGGCCGGTGTGGGTCATCCTGAGTGCTGGTAAGTCTGGTCACCAGGTCAGGGTAGGTCTGCCACCTCTGCCCTGTGAGGGTGCCCGTCCCCGCTCCTAGTCGGCCGTAGCCTGAGGTGGGAAACTGGAGACTCTGGGTGTCCTGTTTTCCCGCCGTGGTCTGTCCTTGCTGGTAGAAGTGCCACTCCTCAGTTAGTACACAGACAGTTTCAAAACGATGGTTTTTCTGATTCTGTCTTAATTATTTTCCCATTATGTTCATCAGTTGACATCTGCAAAGAGACAGGGTTCCCCTTAACTCAGAGAGCCCCAGGTGTTCCTGTCTGCCCCGATGGTCATCTATGGTTGTGGACACGCTGGCTGATAAGGACTTTCTAGTTGGCCAGGTGTGGTAGCTCACACCTGTCATCCCAGAACCTCGGGAGGCTCAGGCTGGAGGATCACAAAGTAGAGGCCAGCTTCAGCAGCTCAGGGAGGCCCTATCTCTAAATAAAATATATAAAGGGCTGGGGACGGGGCTCCGTGGTTAAGTGCTCCTGGGTTCAATCCCTGGTACCGAAATAAAATAAAATTACTAAAAATAAAACAAAACCCTTTGCAGTCGCCAACAGTGCTTACTAGGTTGCTCGGCTGTTGTGGCTCTGAAACTCAGGGCAGGATGTCAGCCCACCTGGGGGTGTATTTTCGTGGTGCTTGGCCTGTCTGCAGCAGACCACAGGCTTCACTTAAAGACATGACCTTTTATAATTTTAATTTTTAGAAATTTTTCGGTCCCAGTGATTGAATCCAGGGAAGCTTCACCCCTGAGCCACATCCCCAGCCCTTTTTCGTAATTTTGGGACAGGGTCTAGCCAAGTTCCTCAGGACCTTGCTATGTTGCTGAGGCTGGCCTTGAACTTGTGATCCTCCTGCCTCAGCCTCCTGAGCCGCTAGGACCACAGCCATGTGCCCCGTGCCCAGCTACAGTGTGGCCACTGCGACGTCCTTTTGCTGCTGAACATGTGCTCAGGACTTTAGTTTTGTGAAACAGGTGCCGAGGCCTTGCCCTGTTGTGCTCCAGCAGAGTCTGTCTTGTACGTGGTTATGTCTGTCCCCACTGGTTTCCTTTTCCGTCTGTCCGTGGGAACTGAGGCACAGAAAGGTCAGTAGCTTGTCACAGCAGCGACCCAGGACTTCACAGCCTCCGGGTGACATTAGAAGTGAAATGGCCCATTGTGATGAAGGTCACTCACAAGAGGAAGAGCGGGTGACCTCTGGGTGCTCTCCTGTCATTAAGGGTTTCTGGATTAAAGGTCCGCCTGCCCTCCCAGCCGGCCTGCGCCTGCGAAAAATAAATGTCACCCGGATCAATCTGAGCAGGGAGGCTGCTTCGCCGAAATGCCAAGGTGTCGTCTGCTCTTTATGAGCAAATGTGTCCCATCCATTATTCATGCCCTCCGCCAGACACACCTGACCTTTTTTTTTTTTTCTTTTGCCTCTCGAGGTCCTGGGGGGTCGAACCAGGGTGCCCCACCGCCCGGCTCCATCCCTCAGTTGTTGTTTTGTATTTGGAGATGAGGTCTTGCCCAGGCGGCCTCGAAACTTCCATCCTCCTTCCTCAGCCTCCCGAGTAGCTGGGATCACAGGTGTGCACGCTGCACCCACATCATCGTGGTTTTTTCAAATTTTTTTAGACCTTTATTTCTTTATTTTTATGTGGTGCTGAGGCTCGAACCCAGGGCCTCGCACGTGCGAGGTGAGTGCTGCACCCTGAGCCCCAGCCCCATTATCGTATTTTTATTAGACTTCTCAGACGTTGGTTTCCAGGTCCATGAGCGGCCAGGGCCCGTGTCTAAAGTGGAGGCCGTGCGTAAAGCTTGGCCTCCACTTTGGTCTCTGTTCAGCGTCCACGACTAGAGAGCGTCCTTGTCCCCAGGCGTCTCGTTTGCTGTGGATTCCGGTTGCGTTAGCAGTTAGGTTGAGCAGTTGGGACTTTGTCATTTATTCGTTCAGTCCCACGTTCACTGAGGGGCTGCTGTGGCCGCTGTGAGGTCCTGGGACACTGGAACGCATGTCCTCAGGGGCCGTGGGGCTGTCCTGGCTCAGCCTGGTGGCCTTTAGTTGTGGCCACCTCGTGAGCCAGGCCTCCTGGGCAGATGGCAGCTGTCAGGCTGGGGGGGACCCCTCACCAGGAGGGACAGTTGGGAGGCCATTTCTAATACTTGTGTCTTTTTTTCTCCCAGGGAAAAATTGGAAGAAAAAGCCAAGTTATACGAAAAAATGACTAAAGGAGACTTTATAGGTGAGTGTGTCTATTTATACTGATTTATTCTGAGTTATTACTTTATTTGGTAGAAGAGGGAGAGGCTGGGCTGGGGCTCCCCTGGCCTGCAGGAGGCCCAGGGTTCAAGCCTCGGCACCCCCCAAAAAATAAGCAAATAAATAAAAATAACCAGGAAAATCCTGCTTTCTCTGGCGGCACAGGAACAGTGCAGAGCGACTTCCCGGTTGCCCTGTGGGTGCTGTGCAGGGTGCTGGGGGGAGACAGCCAGCACGAGCCCAGCCTCTCGGTGTCTTCCCTCAGGGACAGATGTCCCCAGGTGGAGAAAGAGGGCACAGGACCAGGCACCGTCAGGAAATAAGGTCTAAATGAGCCTCACTTACGTATAGTAGCAGCTGCGTTTGAGCAGCGGAAAGGCGGGTGGAGTCGTGGTCATACCACGGCCGCAGTCTTCTCTTTTCTTTTTACTATTTTGATTTTTAACTTTTGGTGGGGAGTGTGCCAGGGGAATTGAGCTCAGGGACACTCAACCACTAAGCCCCTTCCCCAGCCCTGTTTAGTGTTTTATTTAGAGACAGGGTCTCGCTGAGTTGCTTAGGGCCTCCATTGCTGAGGCTGGCTTTGAACTCGCGATCCTCCTGCCTTGGCCTCCTGAGCTGCTGGGATCCCAGGTGTTCACCACTGACCCCGTCTCCTTCTATTTTTTAATCATATTTCCATGTCGTGCTTACAGCTGCTTTGAAGTAGTAATAATAAAACTGTTTCCTCAGACCCCCAGAAAAAGAAAGTCCAGCTCACAGTTAGCAAACAGTGGGACAGGCTTTTATGGGGCAGTGTACATTCCATTCCCAGAGGACAGGGACCGTGGGTCTGTGGCCAGGTGATTATCAGGGAGAAGGGGGGCCGTGGGGTGCCCCCTAAGGTCTGCACGGTCGGGGGAGCAGATGGGTGAGGGAGGGGCTGGCCAGCAGGAGCCCAGCCTGGGGCCCGGGTGTAGCTAGGGGACAGGCAGGGCTGGCCCTGGGTCACCGCTGCCTCTCCTAAGTGCACCTAAACCCAGCACGGTGGCGTTTCCCTTAACCTGTGCACGCAGGAGCTGTCCTGGGTTAAGTTAAAGTCTGGATGGCTGCGTGACTGTCCCTGTGTTCTGGTCCTCGGTGACCGAGGCCCTGCGGGTGGACATCACTGCCCCCTGTGTGCCCTGCAGAGCGGGCCTGGCCTGTCTGAACGCCAAGGCCACTGGCTGGAAAAGAAGTCCTTTCCCTGTGTGAGGCAGGGTCGCGGCCTTGGTGTGGGAGGTGTGTGGGGAGAGCCAGGTCCCCGTCCTCAGCTGATGGCCCGAGGAAGGCAGGGCTGTGGCGTCCCCAGGGCGTCCTGAGACGCGG